AGAAACAAGAGATAATCATTAGAAAATTATCAGAATGAAGCTTGTGTGTGGTCATTACTAAAACCTGTTTTTAATACATATATATATATATATATATTGTTACGAACTTGTATCATATAGATGAACCACGGGTTCTAAAAGAAAGGAAAACGTGGTTTCTTTTCTTGGTCTTCACTTAGAAATGGAAGCGACACAAGGGAATCAACGAAGAACAGACACAAGACGATGGATTTCAAAATTAAACATTTATTTATAAATATATATATAACGAAACAAAGAAAAAAAAAAAACATTCATTTAACAAAGGGGAGGACATCATTAAAGAATAGAAGGCGAGCGAATACATACATATATGAAAATAGATCAAGCCAAAAGAACCAACTTATCTTGCAGTCGGGCTGATATCTTCACATAAAGTTTTGATTCGCCGAGCGAGAGTTCTGATGATAAAACAGTATCTTGACCGGCCGACAATGTTCCTGGATTCTTCTTCTTTTCGCGTGTGTGTTTGTGGGTCCCCAGCATTTCATACAGGCATTTGGTTGGGTTGATCAGTCCATAGCAGCCTTTCCATCACTAGTCGATAGACTTCGTGGTCTTCCTCATCTCAGTGGGCGGTCTGACGATTTTTTGCCCAGAGACGTTCAACTGCCGCTGGTTAGAGGGAAACTAAAAAACCCTTCTTTGGTTTTCGCTGTCCCCAAAGACAGTCACGTGGGCTCCCTTCATCCTTGACCGGTACGCAGGAGAATAGGGCGCAAATCACGCAGTGCTTGTGTGATGGCCAAAAGTTCAACGCATGCTCCATGCGTCCCGATCACGTGAATCGCAGCAGGAGACCCTGATGGTGTCTGGAATTCACTCTTGGTCAAACGCGAAATCTTAGAACCAGGTCATCCTCACGTCGGGTCACTTCTAAGTTCACGGGCACTTGGCTTGTGAGTGGAAGAGAGGATAAGGAGAGAAAGAATTTGTGAAGAGAAGAGGGGGTGTATGGCTGATCATAGAATATATTCGCTCGCGAATCGGAAGCATTGGATTAAATTTCTGTTTTTATCTATTTATTTATCTTTCTTTTATATCTAACTAGTTTTCTCTTTATTTAAGATTTTACTTTAGCCTAACGCCTATATGGTTAATGAAATCATTGCTACGTGACAATATATATATATATATATATATATATATGCAATTAAATATTCAAGAGTAAAAATACATGACTGACTTATATGTCTGTATGGAAATATAAGAAAAATTTAAAAAAATTACTGTCACTTAATTTACAACCTACATGATGCATATAAAAAATTTCCTGCATATCTACACACACAATATATATATGTGCAGGGGGACTGAAAAGTAACTACCCATTTTAAAATACTTATAATTTATTTATTAACTATAATTTTTACAAGAAATGGATATGAGAGGAATGCGTTTAGCATGAGGTTTTATTAAAAACTTGATATGGGCTACCAGCTTTTCAAGCCACCTAAGAATCATATCAACTGATTTCACCAGGAACTCTTGTGGTATGGAAGACATAACTTCTTGTATTCCCACTTCAGGTTCTTCCAAAGTCTTGGTTTGGCATAGTAGACTTGCTCCATTAACCAACCCCAAAGAAAAAGTCACAGGGTGTTACATCAGGACTTGTAGCTGGCCACTCATACAAAAAATAAGGAGTTACTTTTCAAGCACCATGTATATATATGTATATATATATATATATATATATATATATATATATATATTGAAATGCCCCCAAAATGACAACATTATACTGGCATGTTTCACTCTCCCCTACTTGTAGAAATTAACTCAGTTAGATTGCATAATAGGAAATAATGTTTAGCTGTGGCAGCTATAGAACATGGATAGGATTTAACACCATTTGATCAAGAAATGATTGTTGGGGTTAGAAAGATTGGACACTCTTATAATAATGTGTCTGGGCTCCTCAAATGACATTTATCCATGAATGGTTCAACATAGATGACACTGTTGCTGCAGATGTGCAAGAACTGCTCCAGCTGCTTCACACATTTTTTATGCGTTTGTGCACATGTAACATTATAGATGGTGACTATTTTGGAAAAGTAGCATAGTTTTGCAACATAGACACACATTCTTCATATGTATAGTAATAAACAGGACTTATGGTCAAATTATGCTGAAACACCAATTCTTGTTTGATCATTGCAGTTAAGCAGTGTCCTGCTCAGGCAATACTTAGATGGGTGACTGCTTGGGAACACCAGTTAACATAAGCAAAAATTGGATACAAATCTGGTTGGGCATAGCAACCTAGTAACTTCAGCCCATAAAAATTTAATTGTCATGGAATGCTCAACTCATCCAGTGTACCCACACCCAGTTTTCCCCATAGAACTGAGACTCTATTGAGCAAGTTGCACATAACCCCATTGATGGTATTGGCCATCATCTCCAAATTAGACTCCCATAAAGCTAGTGGTGGAGATGGGATACTAGCTGTTGTTCTGAAGAAATGTGCTTCTGAACTGGATCCTGTCCTCTCCAAACTATATAACTACTGCTTCAACGAATCTTACTTTCCAGTCTGTTGGAAGTCCTCATCTGTTGTACCTGTCTAAGAACACTGGAAACTCTTCTGGCCCATCTAACTACCATCCTATCAGTCTCCTACCACTCTTTGGCAAAGTCTTTGAAGCTTTAATCAATGCCAAAGTGGTTAAGCAGCTTACATCTCATGATCTGCTCTCTGACAAGCAATATGGTTTCTGCTTTGCTGGATCTACTGTTGTTGTGCTCATGGCCATAACAGAATTTGTTTACCAAGCACTTCACAGTAATGGAGAAGCTTGAGCTGTGGCTCTAGATATCTTTAAAGTGTTTGATAGGGTTTGGCATGCCGGCTTTCATTGTAAGCTTCAGGGATATGGAAATTCAGGACGATTATTTGACTTAATACAATAAATCCTGTCAAACTGTGTAATGAAGGTCATCCTAAATGGATTCTCCTCCAGTTCCTTTCTCACAAATGCAGGTTTTCCCCAAGGCACTATCCTGGGTCCTACACTGTTTCTGATCTTCATTAATAATCTTTCTCATATCATCAGTTCCCAAGTAGGTATCTATGCAGATGACACCACTATTTACTCCTGCCTCAATAGCAAATCTGGTATTGATAACAAAACTAACCTGTCCGTTGGTCTCAAAAAGGACCTCCAATCTGTGGTTGACTGGGGCAAGAAATGGCTGGTTAAATCGGAATGCTTCAAAAACAAAACTGCTCTTTTTTACCCACCACAGAGAACCCTCCCAGCCTCCCAATAGAATGTCTGATGCTCAACGCCACAAGAATGCCTTTGACTGCTTGGTTTCAAACTGTTTGCTGACCAGAGATGGAACAAATACATTGAATCAATAGCTTCATCTACTGCAAAGAAAAGTTGGTTCTATGTGTCATGCCAGAAAGTTTTTCTCACCTGAGTCCACCCTTCAAATCTATAAATCAACCATTCGCCTTTGCATGGAATACTGCTGCCATATATGGTCTGGAGTCCCAGCTGTTCATCTCAAGGTCCTCGACAAAATCCAGAGACAGATATGCAATGTGATTGGTCCTAATCTGGCATCTCATCTACAGTTGCTCTCTCACAGACATGCCGTTGCCTCCCTCTGTCTTTTCTACAAATACTTTCATGGTAACTGCTCCGACGAGCTACTTTTGGTAGTTCCCAAAATATATAAATTCAAGTGTTCTACTAGGTAGGCATCTCAGTCCCACCCTTTGATCATCAAAACTGTTAAATATGTCCCACACTTTCAGTGTGTGAAAATCCCTCCTTCTAACTTGCTTCCCTATATAAGCTATAAACTTCAATTATTCAAGTGCAATGTCAATCTCATCTTCAGATGCCCTGATCTAATTCCCCGTTCTTCTCTTCATCCTTTCCTCTATCACACCTCTTTACTCTTTCTCCCAATCTCTGTAACCACTTGTGTTCTAGTGGCACTCTAACCTTGCTTGCAGGGAAATGCTTAATAAAAAAAAAACAGCAGCAATGCTGTAGCCCCATACTCCTCAGTAGTTTCTAAAGGACTAAAGGAGGAGGAGGAGGAGTAATAAACATGTTGGATTAGTAAATGTTTGTACCTTACTTTTTTGAACATTACTCATGCATAGCAAATATCAATTGAGAAAAGTACATATTCATTTTGCAGGTGGGACTTAGTCCAATAATGAGTGAAGCTGGGGAAAAATAATAACTTTATATTTGATAATGGAGTTCCACATTTTATAACAAAAAAAGATTGAGAATGTCAGGTACATAAAGTTACAAAGTCAAGTCCATGGCATGACATATGATTTTCTTCATTTGGTCTTGCACTGGATTAAACTAACTTTGTAAATATCTATCTATGTGTCTTTCTAGACATCTTTTAAAATGAAATTTTAATGAGGATTACATAAATATATACTTAAAACTCTCTTCAAGAAAGAAACATTTTTGTTCTATTGCAAAATGTTTTATTGGTTTTCAGTGTGTCAAACAACAGGTAAAAAGCAAGAATTTTGATAATTCTAATTGCATTAATTATTGTAGCTGCAAGTATAGAGTTACTAGCTCTATAGAGTGTTCACTGCCATGAGGGATCCCATGTATTCTTATGAATTTCCATAATGCATTAGTGTCACTTCCATCTCATCCAACCTAAGTGTTTCCTTTTAATTAATAATTCAGTATAAAAACTCCAATAAATACACCACACTCTTAGATCACATGTAGGCAAAAAGGTTATGTTTTGAATGTATTGTAATTTGTAGCAATGTTCTATGGATGTATTCTATGTTTGTTTATTTGTTTCGTAATGTGGTGTTAAAAGAGTGAAAATGTATAAACATTATTAAAATGGGCAGGGGTAAGCACAATTATAATTAATTTAAACAGTTTTCTTAATGCTTGACTACTAGAAAGAGAAGTAAAAAAGAAAGAAAGAAAAAATGTTCTTACTAAGGAGTTGAAATTAGGGTATTTTCCAAGCTTTCTGCATTACCAGATTGTTCAGATGATGTATTTTGAGTAGCTTGATGCTGTATCCCAGCAATAAGTTGAATCATTCGTCCTTGGTCTGCATAAAGAAAACAAATACTGAAATCCACTATACATACATACATACATACATACATATATATATACACACACATACATATATATATATTATTAATTAAAGAATATCAAAGACTTAAAATCCATAGGTAACAATTTTTATTTCATAAGAACTTTAAAAAACAGCTCTCAATCTTCAAGACTTACAAACAAATAAAATGGAAAAAGTTACTCCAGGTTAAAATCAGAAAATATTGCTATCTCATTTAGATAGTGGGAGGGACAGAGAGATATGAATTTAAGTTCCGTATACGGGTAGTAGGAGTTTATCTTTAAGGCCCTATGATTTCATTCAAAGGTCTCACACCGCAATTGGAGTGGACATTCATATCCAGAGGTCAAACTCCTAAAAACTTCAGGGACTGTTGCAACCTCTGTCTGCTGAAGAAAATACTTATAATTAAATATAAAAATCAGGAGAAATAACTTAACCTTTGAAGTGAACTCATAGCAAAATGCGGGTGCAGACACTGCCTTAAAAAACAGAAAAGTACCCTTTCTCCTGGTTTGTATAAATTCCTATCTGTATTGACATTACTCTAATGTTATTGTATGTATATGTTCACAGAGTAATGTTTATTGTACTCTGACATTTATGGTTATGATGCATGTACATGTGTACATTATATATATATATATATATATATATATATATATATGTATTGCAATATGTATATTTAATTGAATATAGATTTGCTTGGGGTAAAATGTGTATATATGCGGATATATGTTCTGGTGAAATGAAATCTGTATTTGAGAGGCGGTCATAAGATGTCAGATGCTTAACCTATTCAGCATTGATTAAACCCTCAAATACTTTGCCAAAAAGCAGTAAGAGACTAATAAAGCGATAATTTGAGGGGTCAGAGTGTTCTTCAGAGTTCTTAAAAATAGGAACTACAGAGGAGGACTTTTGACAAGCTGGACAGCAGGAAGCTGTGAGGCAATTGTTGTAGAGTTTGGAGAGAACTGTAGTCAGGACAATGGTAGGGATCCTATTACATTCACTTGCTTTGTGGGTGTCTTGTTTGAAAATCATGTCTGAAACCAGTGATGAGGTTATGCACATATCACTCAGTAGAGCCTGTATTTTTGTGGGGAAATCAGGCATGGGTACTCCAAATAAGTTGAGTGTGGAGTTGGAAGAGTACTTCTGAGCATAGCACTCAACCATATCTGCAGTAGATGTCAGAACTTCAAATTGATTGAAGAGAGGGGGGACTGAGGATTTGCTGTTGCCTGGCACACTCTTGCAGAGCCAATAGTAATCTCTAGAACTAAACTTGTGAGATGCTATACATAGTTTCATTCTATCAGAAAACAGTAACTTTGCTTCTTTGAGGACATACTTGCACTCATTATGAGCATTGACAAAGAGGCATCAGTTACAGTCAGACCTGTTGCCCTGATACAGACAGAAGAAATGATTCCTGTGGGCTATAGCAGTTGAGCATGCAGGTAAGAACTGTGCTGGAATGAAAGCTTTGAAGCCAGCTTTCACACAGGAGGAGATCTCAGTGATACAATTTTGAACAGGATGATTAAAAACATAATTTCAAGGGATATTGCGAAGGAAATCACAGAATGAGTCCCAATGAGCACAATATTCTGTTGGTAGGAGGTTCATGGCTGATTGAAGCAATATTTATAGATACTACCACATGATTGGATTTGCCAAGAGGGCAGAGCTGCTGAGTATGACATTAGTCAAGGGTAGAGGTGAAGAAGAGAGCAAGAAGAGAAGTGTGTGTGTCAGGATTACTGGAGAAATATGTCAAGAAGTCCACCACTTGCATGAAAGATTGAGTGATAGAGAACTTCAGGATTTGGATGCTAGCAAGGTCAGTGACAGAGTTATTAAGCCACCTAGCATAGTGGGAATTTAAGTCACCAGGCACAAAGATATTTGCAAACGAAAGTAGAGAGAGGGCCTTATCTATATTATCAGAAATACTATCTAGCACACAACAGATGAAGGGGAACAATAGAGAAAGAAAAGATAGCTGACTGAGTTTAGTTGAGAAGGATGGCGACACATGTAACAATTGTCTTCAAACTCAAGAGACAATTCCTTAGCAAGTGGGAGATGTTCCTGAACATAAACTCCCAGGCCAAAAAAGAAAGAAAGGAAGACAGCCAGGAATCGAGAATTTAGAGGAGGGGATTGAAGAATTAAGATTAGTTTCAATGATAGCTAGGATGTCCAGAGAGTTTTTGAATAGGGATGATTCCACATTGCAGAAGTTGGTATGAATAGGGGTTTAGGTGTTTTTTGTTGAGCTGGTTTAGTTTTATTTCATTGGTGCAGACTGCAGCATAGTGTGGCCTTGGGGTTGTCCACCAGAAGTGCTTGCAGGGACACTTTTCCATGCATGACATGGCCTGCAAGTACCCTGATATTATGTGACTGTTCATCAGATCAGTCTCTCTAAATGCTAAACAAGAGTTTGGGCTTCTAACTACCAGTTGGGATGCAACAACCAGAAAACTGCCAACCTGGTACCTTGAATATGAAGAGATGTACTCACCATCTAAACATATCACCAAAAATTCATTGCAGCCATCACTGTTAATGCCTTAGAAAAAGAAAGGAGCTGGGAGCCTCTACCTAAACAGGAGACAAGGGATGAGATTCTTCTCCTGTCTAAGAGAAGGGGAGAGGAGCATAGACCAGGCAATAGAAAAAAAAGGGAATATTATTAAGTTTTAAGTTTTAAATTAATATAAGTCAAAATATCCATTAAAAATAAAAAATAAAAATGGCAGATACCTCTCAGAAAATGGTTAACAAAAAATTTGCCATTTTTAATATATATATATATAAATAACTTAACTGGAAAGCTGAATCTGTCTGTCTGGTTGTGTGTATTTATATATATATATATATATATAAATATATATATATATGCATACTAACTCAAAAAAAATAAGACATATATATCTGAAGCCTGTTTGTCTGATTGTATATATATATATATATATATATATATATATATGCATACTAACTCAGAAAAAATAAGACATATATATCTGAAGCCTGTCTAAAAATAAATCTGAAGTTTAGTTATTTGGGAAGTGAATCAAGCCATGCATTTTTTAGCATATTTTCATATTATTATTTGTTTAAAAAAGGTATATTATGTGGCACCATTTACCAAGGCAGAAAAAGAAAAGAAAGGAAAAGAGAGGCGAAGACCCAAAGCGTGGATGATAAGCAGAACACCCAAGGCTAAGAGACAATGGATAAAGGATATTTTGATAAATAACAAATGGCGAAGAGTGTCATTACAATGAAAAAAAAATTCTGAGTGGATAAAGGAATCGGGTGTGTTCTGACGACGGGCTGTGTTATTGGGATACATAAACAAACCGCTAATGCGGGAAGGCATCTGATTGGCAAACCACAGACCGACTAGCCAAAGAAAAAATCCAAATGAAAATGTTATTTTGATAAGTGACGAAAAACAGGTGGACTACAGGGCTTTGGATAGATATGAAAAATTAATTGTGTCAAAAGCTTCACACGAGGTGGCCACTGACCGATTTCTTTCGACAGAACATCTTTAGCCTGCGATAATAAAACTATGTTATCAGAAATGTGGACCGAAAAAATGAATGGGAACCTAGAAATGTTTCTTTTCGAGGTGACGGTCTGGCCGTGTTAAAAAGATCACCCATTCTGATAATTAGCGATAAGATGACTGACGAAGCCCAGGTGAGAACAAGAGTTATGACCACCATCGATCGTATTGTTCTGTTTGCGGCTAGAGAAAATGATAACTGTGATTAAAAGAAAGAAAAGGAAAAGAAAAAGATAATTATTTTTTGTTAAGCAAGATATTTTTTTTTTCCTGAAACAAAGCCGCGGGATCGTACACGCCCGACTAGACATCATTGGTCTAGTGGTGATCACGTGACGCACGGAGGAGGCTGTCACCGCCCATTTAGAAGATGGGTATGAGAGGTTGCTACGAAGAAGTGGGGAGGGCAGTTCACGCCCCTCTGAAGTATGGTGAGAAGGTGGGAATAAGAGAAGGCTCCCAAAAATGGAAAAAAAGTGGAAAATTCCTAACCAGAAATAAAAGAGGTGGATATATATTTAGAATTATCGAGGACCCCCCGGCGCCGACAAACACACCCCGGTTTTGGTCGGCGTCCATATAAGCGAAGTTGCAGCGAGCAGAAATCAGTTCGAGTTAGAGTTTCAGTTCCAGCAGAGAGCTTGAAGTTCGCAGTGGAAGTTGGTTCCACCTCACAGATAGCTGACTTGAAAGATTCACGCAAATTCCGGAGTCCTCTTCAATCCAAGAACAATTAATTTGAAGAGCGACTTAGACCCAGACCACCAAGATAAGTTTTTTTTCGACTTTCGCCCAAAGACACACCGAAAAACCCATTTCTTAAAGAGCAACAACTTGAAGTGTTAAAACTCGCCTAACGAAAAACAACGTGTCACAATCCATAGAACGGGTCGGGAAATAGACACAGTCCTATGTATCCAACAACTAGACATAAAGTTTTTTTGATACCTTGAATTTTTGAGTTATCATTTTATTTTCTTTTATGCATATTTGTGCAGTGTCACCCCCGTTTGAACCCGATTTGCATTACGGCCCCAACTACTGATTGATCTCGTCTGCCTAAGATCAATTCACAACGTGGGTAGGCAGACTGGAGATCAGTGCAGATACTTTGGTAACCAGGCGTTGGAAGCGAGTTGGGAATGACGAGGCTGATATTGAATCTAACCAGATTCCCATCCGAATCACAAAAAGGTTAGAACGTCACATTTGGGTGCCATGACCGATACCAAGCCAGTTGGTCGTCACAGATGTCACGTTTGGAGCGGCGACACCCGAACGGAGCAGCGAGGAGCAAGTGAAGGCTGCGTTTAAGGACGTCGCAGCACCAGCTGCAACAAGGACGTCACAGTTGGTGCCGTGACCATACGACAGGACCCTG